TCCCTGCCCCCCTCTGTCCCCCGCTCCCTGCGCCACCCCCGCCCCAGCCAAGCCCCCACCTCCCAGGCGAGCTCTTCCTCCATCTGTCATCACTGCCCAGGCTGAGCAACGTCTACGAGACTAGCCCCTTCATGGGGGCAGGAGGCTGGCCCTAAAGCAAAGGACAGGAAAGGTGAGGACCCAGCCAACCAGGCTACAGGGCTTGTGGGGGGCGGACCCCCCGCTCCCTGCGCCACCCCCGCCCCAGCCAAGCCCCCACCTCCCAGGCGAGCTCTTCCTCCATCTGTCATCACTGCCCAGGCTGAGCAACGTCTACGAGACTAGCCCCTTCATGGGGGCAGGAGGCTGGCCCTAAAGCAAAGGACAGGAAAGGTGAGGACCCAGCCAACCAGGCTACAGGGCTTGTGGGGGGCGGACAATGTGGTTATAAGGCCAGATCTTCTGCTGGGAGAAATCACTGCAGCTCCCTTGAAGTTAATGGTTCATTTGGCCCAGCTGGGGGTCTGGCCCTAGAGTCAGAGAAGTGACGGGATGTACTGCCCCATTTGTATGCAGGGGCACAGGGACCCTTTGTGTAGCTGGGTCTGAGAGCCATCGAAGCACACTGGGAACCCTGGGTCTAACAGGATCCGCTTCAAGGCAGGGTGGTGCAGCTCCAGCACCCGTTGTTATCTTGATGTCAGCACTGGATGGGGAGGGAGTCCTATTGATCCACAGATCCAATACAATTCAGGCAACTCCAGCCAGTTTTCCCCTTCTTAGGCAACCCTGGGGCTTCTTACATGGCTGTATCTACACTGGCAATTTTGGCTTCAATAGCGGTAGCATTACATGGCCACTGGGATGATGGGAGGCTTAGTGTGGAGACAGGACATGCCTGGCTCATCTAATCCTGCTCTGACATAGCAAAGCAGCCTTAGCCTCATCTGTGTGGCTGCTCCAGGTGGAGCTGTTGTTGTTTCTTTGCATTGCCATACATGGGAGCCATAGTCTTAGACCAGCGGCGGGCAACTTGCAGCCATGGACTGCGTGTGGCCCCATTGGGTGCTCTGCATGGCCATGAGGCATCCGTTTACCATGCCCAGACACAGGGTTGCCAGATTCTGCTGGTTTCTGTCCATGCAATTGTTTCCTTCTGGTGTTACTAAAGTGACAGGCACAGAAAGCCAGGGCACAAGAAGTGAGGGGCAGGCTGGTTGCACACAGCACTGACTGTGAGAGCCAGGTGTTCCCTCTGCAGCCAATCACAGCGCAGTAACAGTTCAATTGCACCCCCACAAGCATAGGGAGCAAAGCTGCCGTATCCTGGAAGAGCATCTGGGTTACAACAACCTTGTGACCCACTGCGATGAAGGAGGCCGCTCATGCAGCCCACTTGCCGGCCTCAGTTGTCCATTGCTGTCTTGTGCCAGGTGCAGTGCAAACCGAATACATGCCCCAAAGAGCCTCCAATCAAAGTACAGGGCAACAGAGAGAGATTGCCCAACTATGTTGTTGCTTTCCTGGGAGGAGGGATTTAATCGATACCTTGTTAGCTTTCGATATTGTCTGAACTCCTTTAAAAAGGAAGAACACCCAGTATGAGCTGGGAGGTAATATTTGGGTGCCCAGTTCATTTAGGAAGGGTAATTTCACTGTTATCTGATGAGATTGTATTGATCTGGAGGTTTTTCAGCGGACAAGGAAGAGGGTTGTATTAGAAATGTTTTTGACCCCATGGGATCACCTTTTGGGTTTCCAAATGGGAAGCAGGATGATGGGCAAGGTACGTGTTGGGTTGGTGCTGAATGATTCTGAATTGCTATGGTTGATATGAGTCCAATAAGGTTTGTTACATCTGAATTTGCTAAAGGATCCTGGACTTCTTAGTATCAGCTAGAATGCTGAAATTGCCCTTGAATGCTGATAGAACTATGGATTATGAATAGTTAACCAGAGGTGGTGGTATGTGTATTTTAACTGAAACTTTGATCATGGGCCAGCTCGCTAAGTAAATGCACAAAAAACACATGAACGACGAGCTGGTATTAACTGGCTCAGGTCAAGCTGACCCTTTAGGTTGGCACCATATTGAGAGCTCAGGTGAATGATTGATTAGAAAAACAAGTAAGGAAATGCCCACAGGACCTGTTTCAAAGCCATGTAACTCCTTCGAGAGCAAGGGGGAGAAGTACTAAGATTATCCTAGGGGCAGGTCCGGTTCCCCAATTAATATCTGAAGAAGTCTGACCTATAGGACAGGGGCTCAACACCCTGCTACAGGGGACATTTGACAGATCACGTACTTGAGAAGAGATCTTCCTGGAACTGGAAGCTGTACCTCCTTTGCTTGCCTGTCAGGGAGTTGTGGAGGGCCAGCATGTTTATGCTTGGGAAACTGAGGCTTATTAAGAAGACGTATTGTAAGCTGCTGGGCATTGAGCAGACTGTATCTGAATTTTCACAGGTACTGGTAACAGTACTGGTAACAGCCATAGGCTGTTATAGATCTGGCTGTAGAAATGCAGTTGCTGCTGGCCATCTGTTATCACCCAGCTAAAACAAAGCCTGCGCGTGGAGAGGGTAGCAAACGAGTTAATCATTGTTAAAAGTGGACAAATTGTAAATGTTATGACTTCTGTGCCATTCCCGGCTGGTTTCCTTTTATCATCTAGTCAACCCGAAGTCCTGAAATATTTTGAAAGCAAACATCTCTCAGAACAGGTGCTGCTGGCTGGATCCTTCTGGAGGCTCAGTGCTGCCAAGTGATTATCGGTAACACTACGGAGCAGCAGCAGACACTTTTCTGGAGTGCAACTGGCCTGACTGAGGAGAGAGGGTGGGCTGGATTGTACAGGGTTTTGTCACTGCACCCTGCTTCATTGATATTTAGATGCTTTGAAATAGTTCTAATGAGGCCAGTTGCTCACTCCCGTGGAACACCCACGCTTTTACATACATCTGGCTGTACTGGGAAAATAAGCTTCCGACCACCTTGTATTTGGCACTGAAGGGGTTAAGCGGATTCGATTTACTGATACGGGTTTGCAGAGCAGCGGAATCCTGTTTCATTTTATTCGTGAACCTTTTCAAGCCAGGAAATAAGGGCAAGAGGATTGTCGTGGCTCAGCCAACTAAGTCACCTTGTCGTCGCTTTACCTCTTTGTGACTCGGGTTCTCCTCCTGTAAAATGGGGTGACACTGGATCCCTAAGGGTTAAGCGGATTCGATTTACTGATACGGGTTTGCAGAGCAGCGGAATCCTGTTTCATTTTATTCGTGAACCTTTTCAAGCCAGGAAATAAGGGCAAGAGGATTGTCGTGGCTCAGCCAACTAAGTCACCTTGTCGTCGCTTTACCTCTTTGTGACTCGGGTTCTCCTCCTGTAAAATGGGGTGACACTGGATCCCTAAGTCCTTTACCTCCAGGAGCGAATTCAGGCCAAGTGCACGAAG